GATTGAAGATAGGGAGTTGGTGACTTTAGTCGAGGAACCAACTCACTATTCTGTACCGGATTCACTCAGGTAGTGGAGGTTTTGTTTGTTAAGGCCTCAATCTGTTTACTCCGGTGGAGGTTAGTCGCCCGCTAGAGACTCAGATTGAGAGGTTCTGAAGACCTTTAGTCGAGACTTCAGGCTGTTTAAGAACCTTCCGCAGTATAACTTTCATAGAAACTGAACTTGGTAATTGCAATCCGGCTTAACTGCAGTCTAGGGGGAACCATATCCGGGTGACCTCTCTTAACCTGAATACAACAGTTTACTTGCTTTGTTAGTTTGATAGTTTAGACTTGCATTCCAGTTTCATTGCTAGATAACAAGAATTCACTGAGTAGTCATCAGATCTAGGACCCGGGTTGACATATAAACCTAACCCGCTATACTACGCTTTAGGAAGTGGTTTCACTTGGCCAATTCCTAGGGTGACAGTAGAAGTGAACCAAGCGTCTTAATATGCCAAGGTTGTTCTTGGGTTGCTCTAATACGTATGGTTGCATCGGTATTGCATCCAATCCGATTAATGTATCTCAATTTTAATGAAATTCAACTCATGCTCATTTATTCGTTTTCCAGTTATACTAGTAAAAAAAATTAAATATTTTTTTGTGCATGACATGTAAGTTTTCTGCTCATACCCATGGAACAAATTCATTGTAATAAAGTTAACCATCAAAAGCATTATCAACTTAGTAAACTAGAATAACGAATCGTCTTTACTTTAAATATTAACATGATCCCTATAAATTGATTATCACCATCATGGTGGAGTCACATCTCCCAAACGAGTAACTAAGAGACACAATTATAACCCATCAATAGACCTTGCAATCTCTATTGATCCTGCAAATACAAATAAAAAAATGATAAATGGGTTCTCCTAGTGCATCATCGGTCATTATCACATGTATACTCTTCTCAACTTTAGTTATCCTGAATTTTCCATATCAAATACAAGCTAGAAAGCTATCACCATTACTAACAAACCCTCCAGTAAAAGTATTTCAAGAAAATGATGAGAGGAGCAGCCTTCTTGACCGAGCACAAGAATATGGAAGTACTTTCCATTCCTTAGCTAAAGATGACAATAATGTCGACTGCATTGTTCAAGAAATCCGTACTTGGGAACATTATTTTTATGCCATTGGGAATGCAGCAATGTTGGGGGCATTTGGATCGATGTATATGTAAATTTATATATTACCTGTGTCAAGTGCATGTTGTCACCTAAGATCTATTTGCAAGTAAAATGAATTGATTTAGCATGAAAGTTGTGTTCAAAATTTAGAAAGGACACTTAAGATCCATTTTTGTAAAGGACGAGTATTTTTTTTAATTTTGATAAAGTATCTAGAAGTATACAGAACTTCATTGCCAAAAAATCTAATTGTACTCAGGAACATTAAGTTCAAAATATAATTATATATATGAAGAGAATAATATGTTTGTTTAGTTTCCTACAATCACAATTTTAACCATCATGATTACATTAGAATCGACTAGTTCATTGTATTGTGAAAACTAAAGATGATGATATTCATCAAAGAGGTTGATTCACTTTACAGTCCCAGTTTTCAGTTTACTCATCCCGAATTCCACAATAATTTCCCACCTAAGGTCCAAGTATAAACCTTAGTCGGGTGCAGTACATGATAAGTATGTTTAAATATCAACCCGGGTCGGTCCGTGTACCCCTGTTTCAGTCATTTGAATCATTATCTAGCAACAAAGTTTTGGTTGAAAAATTTGCTAATTAAAATAAATAAAGGCAAAGGTAAATGGTTTTGAAAGCTCTTTGTGAGAAGGATCACTCGGGTGTCGCTTCCCCCTAACTACTACCATGGTATGTGAATTGAAACGATTGCTATGGGCAACGTAACCGCGAACCGCAGAGGGATGCAAATGTGGTCGTAGACCACACTCTCGATTGCTAAACCGAGGTATACATTATAGGTCACGTTACTCGGCCCTCTCAGTTTAGGCAATTGGTCATTGACTTACTTCGTCACTCAACACAAGGGTTGGGCGGCTTAATCGCTCTAAACTAATTTGCTTAATTCAACATTGAGGTTTGCCCTAAATTAACCTTGAAACGCTAAAGGAAAACCAACTCGATTGAGTCTACCTTGGCAGAGGGATTTTCCTCTCTAATCTAGGTTAAAGTGGCTAATTAGATTGCTAAGCACCAACATGCACAAACCTAAGGATGCCAAGCACAATTATGCACAATCCTTAGGTTGCTAAGAACCAACATGCACAAACCTAAGGATGCTAAGCACAAAACATGCACAATCCTTAGATTGCTAAGCACAAGCATGCACAATCAAATGAATAATACCTCAATCATTGAATTAAACAATACCCAATAACAATCATTCAATTCACATAAAAGAAACTACATGGTAGCTAGTTAGGGTTTCACAACATCCAAGTGAAAAGAAATCTACTCCATGCTAGAAATGGGAGAAACACAAGAAGAAGAGGTAGAAACCATCTTGAGGGAGGCTTCCAATCTTCTAGACCCTTGTGTCGAACTTCTCTTGGGGAGAATCTTCCCAAATCCCACCTTGGAGCAAAACCCTAGCCTCCTTCTCCTTTGGTTCATGTTTCTCTCTCTAAAAATCTGAAGAAGGCTTTCTCACACAATGAGCTCTCCCCTCTCTCTTCCTTTCGGCTCAGCTTTTAAACAGTGAACGAACTCGGTTCACGGCCTGAGTTCACGGCCATGAACTCTGAAACGCGTCCGTGAACTCTAGATTAGCGCTGAAACGCACCGCTTTGCTTCCACGGGTTCACGACCAATAGCTCGTATTCACGGTCTTAGCGACTGTGAACTCAATTAGCGTTAGTAACTTGCATTTTAGCCCTGTACACCACAATGTTCACGGCCAATGGCTTTTCTTCTCGATCATACGAGACAGTGAACATCCAAGGAAAACCGTGAACTCGCCGTTTTTCACCTTTTCTCCCGTTTTTGCTCCTTTTTGTCCAACTTTCGACTCCGGAGCTGGCTTCACCTGTTAAATCCTAAAACACACTAAAACACTAGAAACCTAACGTAAAACCACCCTTTTAGGAGCGAAATTGCCACAAACGCCTAAGGAAAACGGGAGTAAAACATGTACAATAAGGGCCCGAATCATTAGTTTTATTTTTTTAGTATCTTTGTATCCTTTTTTTTTGTTCATTTCTTTAGGTAACACATTAGCGTTTTAAGTTAATAGATCAAAAATGAAACACAAACAAGTGGCGTGCATGAAAAGAAAACTTAAAAAGAATGAAAAAATAAAAGTGTTTGTTTTACCGAAACAAGCTGGTAGTTAGCTCTTTGCTTTTACATTATACTTTTTCCCAATTTCTTTTTAAAGAAAATTATAATAAATAAAGTCACAGGTTTGCAATTTTAAGCATGCCGCTTTTCAATACAAAGTTCCTCCCTAACTCAATTTTTATTTTCAAAGCGAAATTTGGAATAAGGTTCAAGGATTTAAAATAAGGTTCATAAAACAATAAATCACGTGGAATTTTGGAAAGGATTTAAAATAAGGTTCAAGGAATATAAATTGGTTTATAATAAGGTGTAAGCTATGAAGGAGGTTAGGTTCAACAGCGTTTGACGAATGGATATATAACTTGATAAAAGTGGTCTTCTATACCATAGGCTATACATATGTCCCTATCTTTCATATTTGTAGTGTCACTACTCGAGCTCATGCACAGGTTAATCATAAGAATCATGCAGCGAGAGATATATTACCCAAGAAAGAATCATAAAAATCTCACTTGGCTTCCTAGATGCTCGGTCTCTAATACAGGTTCTCCGCTCAATAACGCTAAACAATCGGAGATAGTGGTTGACTACTATGATCGCACCATTCATGTGTCAAAGTGAATAGGTCAGGCAATCCCAAAATGAAACTAAAAAGTTGCCACTATAATCACGAAACTTTTTTAGTTTTTTTCAATATTCATCACTTACACATTCATGGAAAACAATAGGTATCTGTAAATCACACCCATAAACACTTCAAATGGAAATGAGAGTTAAGATAGGAATGAGTTACTGATAGAGCAGTAAATGGATAAGTATGAAGAGTGGAATTTCGTGATGATTTCTCGCAGGAAATGCTGGAATAAAAATGCAATAAGAACTAAAATGATACAGCGAGAGTACATATCAAGTTCATTAGAATCAACCAAACTCATTTGTCTACAATAAAAAAATAAAACGAAGAAAATTTTGACTACAATGAGAGAAAATGAAAACAAAACTCAAGAAACAAGAACAAAGGTGATCAAAAGCATAAATATTATAGTTGGTCAACGGCTATGCCCATAGCTAGTTTTATTAGTATTCCAATCCATAATGCTTGCATCTAACCCTATCCATCTCAAATCTCCAAAATAATGACCCGCCAACTATTTCCCAACTTCAAATTATCAGTTTGACATTATCCTGTACATCAAATTCCATGTCCTTAAAAATAGCTATAACAGATAATGGTAGAGGCAATAAAAAAGGTACCTCACTTTTTAGTTATTTTTCGTGCCATTGTATGATTTCTCAATCTGTAACAGAAATAATGGCCAAATGTCACATAACTGTTGAAATCTTAATAATAATCATACTTAGCGTCTTAATAAGGCAAGGACGTTCTTGGGTTGCTCTAATACGTATGGTTGCATCGATATTGCATCCAATCCCATTAATGTATCTCAATTTTAATGAAATATAACTCATGCTCATTTATTCGTTTTCCAGTTATACTAAGAAAAAAAAAGATGTTTTTGTTGCATGCCATGTAAGTTTTATGCTCATACCCATGGAAAAAATTCATGCGTAATGAAGTTAACAATCAAAAGCATTATCAACCTAGTAAACTAGAATAACTAATCATCTTTACTTTGAAAATTAACATGATCCCTATAAATTGATTACCATCATAATGGTGGAGTCACATCTCCCAAACGAGCTACTAAGAGACACAATTATAACCTATCAATAGACCTTCCAGTCTCTTTTGATCCAGCAAATACAAAAAAAAATCTGATAAATGGGTTCTCCTAGTGCATCATTGGTCATTATCACATGTATACTCTTCTCAACTTTAGTTATCCTGATTCTTCCATGTCAAATACAAGCTAGAAAGCTATCACTATTACTAACAAACCCTCCATCAGAAATATTTCAAGAATATGACGAGAGGAGCAGCGTTCTTGACCGAGGTCAAGAATATGAAAGTACTCTCCATTCCTTGGCCAAAGATGACATCAACGTCGACTGCATTGTTCCCGAAAACAGTACTTGAGAACATGATTTTTATGCCATTGGGAATGCAGTAATGTTGGGGGCATTTGGAAATGATGTATATGTAAATTTATATATTACTTGTGTCAATTGCATGTTGTCAACTAAGATCTATTTTCAAGTAAAATGAATTGATTTAGCATGAAAGTTGTGTTCGAAATTTAGAAAAGACACTTAAGATCCATTTTTGTAAAGGACGAGTATTTATTTAATTTTGATAAAATAGCAAGAAGTATACAGAACTTCATTGCCAAAAATTCTAATTGTACTCAGGTACATTAAGTTCAAAATATAATTATATATATGAAGAGAATAATATGTTTGTTTTGTTTCCTCAATCACAATTTTAACCCTCCCGATTACATTAGAATCTGACTAGTTCATTGTATGGTGAAAACTAAAGATGATGATATTCATCAAAGAGGTTGATTCACTTTACAATCCGCGTGTTCAGTTTTATTTTTTTAGTATCTTTGTATCCTTTTTTTTTTGTTCTTTTCTTTATGTAACACATTAGCGTTTTAAGTTAATAGATCAACAATGAAAAACAAACAAGTGGCGTGCATGAAGGGAAAACTTAAAAGGAATCAAAAAATAAAAAGTGTTTGTTTTACCAAAATAAGCTGGTAGATAGCTCTCTGCTTTACATTATACTTTTTCCCAGTTTCTTTTTAACGAAAATTATAATAAGTAAAGTCACAGGTTTGCAATTTTAAGCATGTTGCTTTTCAATACAAAGTTCCTTCCTAACTCCATTTTTATTTTAAAAGCAGAATACTATGATAGAACAATAAATCACGTGGAACTTTGAAAAGAATTCAAAATAGGGTTCAAGGAATAGAAATTTGTTTATAATAAGGTGTAAGCTAAGAAGGAGGTTAGGTTCAACGACGTTTGACAAATGGGTATAATGATAACTTGATCAAAGTGGTCTTCTATGCCATAGGCTATACCTATGTCCCCGTGTTTCATATTTGTTGTGCCACTACTCGAGCTCATGCACATGTCAAGCATAAGAATCATGCAGAGAGAGATGTATCACCCAAGAAAGAATGGACATGAAAAATCTCACTTGGCTTCCTAGATGCTCGGTCTCTCATACAAGTTCTCCTGCCAATAACGCTAAACAATCGGAGGCGGTGGTTGACTACTATAATCGCGCCATTCATGTATCAAAGTCAATAGGTCACGCAATTCCAAAATGAAACTAAAAATTTGCAACTATAGTCACGAAACTTTTTTAGCTTTTTTTCAACATTCACCGCTTACACATTCATGGAAAACAATAGGTATCCATAAATCACACCCGTAAACACTTCAAATGGAAATGAGAGTTAAGATAGGAATGAGTAACAAGAACTAAAATGATACAGTGAGAGTACATATCAAGTTCATTAGAATTAACCTAACTCATTAGTCTACAATAAAAAAATAAAACTAAGAAATTTTGACTACCATCAGAGAAAATGAAAACAAAACTCAAGACACAAGAACAATGGTGATCAAAAGAATAAATATTACATTTGGTCAACGGCTATGCCTGTAGCTGGTTTTATTTGTATTCGAATCCATACTGCTTGCATCTAACCCAAGCCATCTCGAATCTCAAAAATAATGACCTCCCACCTATTTCCCAGTTTCAAATTATCAGTTTGACATTATCCTGTGCATCAGAGCCTTAGGTTCAAACGCAGTGGCCAGAATAATGAATTCCACGAAGGAAAGCGGCGCTGAATTGACCCACTAGACAAGGCCGAAAGGCCCTGTTCCTGGAACCCCTGTTGAGCTGCTCACGGAGAAAAAGAAGGAGAAGAAGCAGGAGGCGTTAACTACGAGCAAGACCTCCGAAACCAACGTCTATCCCGACGTTAAAGTTGAGGAAGCCGCCATGGGAGACCCACAGCCCGTCATGATGGCCGAGCTGCAACAGTTTTTTCGGCAACATGTTGTTGCTCTGTTTAAGACACAACTAACCAAACAGGACGAGAAGTTTAAGGCTCTCTCGACCAAGTTTGATGAATTGAATCAAACAGTTGCAATGATGAGCCAGCAATGAGGACCGGTTCCGAAAACTCTGAGAGGAGCATAGGTTCAACCCAAACCTCAGCATCCTCTGCCAGCGAATTGTGACAATTCGCCACGAAATAGATTCCTAGAAGCCGATCAAGCTCTGGCGGCTCGAGTTCAGGACTTGGAATGGAAACTAATGACTCTATAAGTCAATCCCATCGTTCAGGGGGCCCGCAATCGATAGAAAATCGATTTTGCCCAAGATGAACGCGACGACGATCCTCTGGTGTCGAAATTGCGTGGAATTAAATTATCAATGCCAACTTTTCATGGGACGACCAATGCCTCGGCCTACTTGGATTGGGAGAGGAAGATCCTCTTGTTCTTTCGGTGTGGACAATACTCTGAAACCCAGAAATTGCTCCTAGCCACCTATGAGTTCAAGGATTATGCCGCAACTTGGTGGGAGCAGGTCAAAGTCTGACGATGGCAAAATATCAGGCTGAAGTGACGACCTGGGAGGAATTGAGGGGATTAATGCGGGAGAAGTTTGTGCCAGCATATTACTAGAGAGAATTACATGAATCCATGCAAGCAATTCGTCAAGGATCACGCACAGTGGAAGAATATGCCATAGAATTGGAATTACTCATGACCAGAGCTGACATAAGAGTGCATTCAGAGGCGAGAATTTCGCGATTCTATTCTGGGCTGAACAAAGAGATTCAGTACGAATGGAAGCTTTGCCATTTTGTTGATTTGGAGGAAGCCATCCACTTGGCAGTCAAGATCGAAAAGCAGTTGAAGGAAGGAGCAGCAAAGCGAGTTGTCACCCCTAGACCGAGCAATGCCCCTGAGAATGCTCCGAACACCGCACCAACCCCAATTCGTGTTGTGCATTTGAAACCAATTCCCCAGCAAGGCAGTCAGGACCGAGATGGAGGCTCAATTAGCAGGTTGGAATGCTACAAGTGCCATGGAAGAGGGCACAAATCCTTCCAATGCCCCAATCCAAAAGCACTCATCCTGCGTGATGGTGAGTACAACTCGGAGGATGAAGAGAAGGAAAAGGGAGCTGATGACGAGGTTACTGATGAAGAAGTAGACGAGAACATTGAAATGGAGGCTCCAGGTGGACATTTCCTCGTCAACAGAAGAGCACTCGCCGTTGAGGAGATTAGTGAAACCCAGCAGCGTGACAATTTATTCCATACCCGCTGCCGAATTCAAGGAAAGACGGCGCCGATGGTGATCGATGAAGGAAGTTGTGCTAATGTTGTGAACTTAGAGACTGTGAGGAAGCTTGGATTGAGCACTCTCAAGCATCACGATCCCTACATCCGACATTGGCTCAATGATCATGGAGCTGTGAAAGTGACGAAGTCGGCATGGGTCGAGTTTGAAATCGATCAATACAAGGATCGAATTCTTTGTGATGTAGCTCCTATGCACGTTGCTCATATCCTTTGGGAAGACCTTAGCAGTATGATCGTGGAGTTACCCACCATGGCAGGTCAAACTGCTATACTTTTAAACATGGATGGAAGAAGCTCAAAATGACACCTCTTCCACTGATCGAGGTTCGTAACGAACAAAGGCAATTAGAGTTCGATTGAGCTCAAGTAAGTGAAGGGATGGGAACAGGGACGAGTTTAATTGCCCGAAGGCTAGTGCTTACTGCTCTACGACGAGAAAGAAACCCACTCCGACCCGGGAAGCAACAACTCTGTTGCTTGTCGACGGCGATATAAGGGAGGAGAGAGGGTCTATTGGGTGGAGACCTAGAGGGCACGTTGATCCAACCCAATGGTGCCGACACGTTCCATATGCCTTCAGGAAGCTCTCCCATGGATCATATGACGTCGATTCAACTTGAATCAAAGGATCCAATTCGAGCTTAAAAGCCCCTGGAAACGAGCAATCATGACCAAAAATCGAGTCTATTGGTTGAAGAGCTCGGGGATGATTCAGACCAAACTGCTGGTACAAAATCGTCGAGGGCAGACCTGGGAAGCTGTATGAAGCATCAATTGGACTCGAAAATCCTTGAATCAAAAGTCCCCAATTTTTTAATTGGATTTCTGGGTTTGTCGAATTCAAATAATGACGATGGCGGGAAACAGATCTTCATCTATTCGAGGAAGATGGTGATGAATTGAAGCTTTGGGTCCGTACAAAACTTCGATTGAACACCCAACGAAGCCCTGGGAAGTATTGAATAAATATGGGAATCCCCATTTACAAAAGCTACAATTTGTTTGACAAAGAATAGTGCTTTGGACTTCTAGAACATGATGTTCAACAAACCTACTTTGGACCCAATTTGGGATCAATTCTATGATGATTTCGAGATGAAGAAGACTATGTTCTTGAGACCTCGAGCAAGGAATTTTATTCCTTCGCCTGAGGCTGCGAAATTTTATTCCTTCGCCTCAGGCTGCGCAATTCTGATCCATCACCTATCCAGGGTGTTATCATTGGATTCGAGGAGCAATTTCGGATAGAAACTCTCTACGGAGGACTCTGACACGCTAAAACACAACACCAAACTACGATCAAGTGTAATCGCAGTCCTGCAAATGCAGTAAAGTGGAAAGCTCTATTTGTCAACCCGGGGTCTAGATCTACTACCTACTCCGTGATTATCTATTATCTAGCAAACTAAGTCAAGTGATTGTGATTTTAAGTAAAAGTAGTTAGAAAGCAGGAAATGGTTCAAAGTTCTTTAGCAAGGGAAGACTCACTCGGGAATGAGTCCCCCTAGCTCCTTAGTTAGGTCAAGGTTGTAATTACCCTGGGTTGATAAACTGTTGATTAAAGTGAAGAAGATCCGACAGTAGCTTGGAATCTCTTAAGCTGACCAAGCCCTCTCAGACAGACTAACCGGCAGGAGACTAGCCTTCACCGAGTTAGACTGTTGACGCAATGAACACAGAACTCCACTACTGGAATTGAATTCCAGTACAAAACAGTAAATCGATTAACTCTCGTATAACCAATCTACCACTACTTATTGATGAAGCTCTAACAACCTAATCGGATTCTATCTATCTCAAGTTGTAGCAGATTTCAAGAAAAGATGATCATGCTTCAATTGACTCAATGAATCATGCATTAATTGATTAAAATCAATGAGTATATCAATCCCAAGTCATTACAATTAAGATTCCTAACACATGGAACTAGGGTTCTTCATACCCAAGTGAGAGAAGGTTCTACTCCATATAGAGAGAGAGAGAGAGAGAGGAAAACAGAAATCAGAGTAGTCATACTCATAAAGATGAGGATAATCTACTCTGGGATGTCAATCTTCACTCCTGGGGATGCAATCTGGGCTTCAATGGTGAGAAATCCACTCCAAATAGCTCCTAGGGTTTGTTCTCCACACTTTCTCTCTCTAAAGCTCTGTATTTTGCTCAAAAATTCGATCCCTCTCCGAAAGGCCCGAAATTGGGTTAAAAGCCAGAATTTCCTGACCATACGGCTGTGTGGAATCCCAGTCTACCCGTGTGAACTCCAAAATGCGGCGTTTCGATTAAGTGCCTCCACGAATGCTACACGGCCAGAGCTACACGATCGTGTAGAAAACTGGCTTGCCCGTGTGACATCTCTGTGATTTCCACACGGCCTCAAGGGACCTAGTACACTGCTAGTGTGGTCTTGCCCGTGTAATGGAATTCCATACGGCCACGCCACACGGCCGTGTGGCTGCTAGGTTTGGTCGTGTGGTTTCCTCAGCTTCTCGCCAAACATCCAACCTTCGTCCAATCGACCCTGAACTCGTTCCCAAACCTCCAATCACATACTAGGACCTGAGTAACACAAACGAGAACAACCTAGTGTGAAATCGGCCTAAGATACGAGAAATGAGGCTCAAACGGCATAAGAATGGTGGACAAAAACATGTGTATATATCAAGTCATCAAATTCCCCCACACTTAACCATTTGCTTGTCGCCAAGCAAACCAAGTCAGATACAAGGTAAGCTCAACACATTTCAATCATACCAACTTTGGGGACATATCATATAGGCACAGAACACGTGAATCATACTGGCTTTTGATCATTGACATATGGACAGCTCAACGGCAACCTAGACAACCACCACAGAGGACATTCGAGTGCAGCAAAATCAGGTAAAGGAAGAGGAATCCTTTCTGTTCACCAACCAACATATACTTGACTCAAACACTTAACCGAGACAGTCATCGCATGCATCAAACTCAGGACATCAAAATCAAGACCGAGCCATCTAGGTCCTCACCGGGGTAAAGAGCATAAAGAACAAGGAAATGAATAGCTCACTCTCGACCAGTGGGGTCAGGACAATTTGATGCGAAAAATGTGCATGCTTATTATCTCAAATCCTAAAGTCTCTTCACCATGATGGCAGTCTCTAAATGTTAGAGTTCACACAAGGGATGTCACCACTAACTAATCTGGAGGTCTTGGACATAGGTTCAAGTGACTGGCTAGGGTCTTGGACATGGGGAAAAAGCCTTTTAGGTGGTGGAAGTATTCATAGAACAAGGTTCCACAGTTCCAAACCCAACACATTCACAGGCAATCAAACCAGTTACTTTCTTTCTGCCATTCTTCATTACTCAAATTCTCTAGAGCACAATAGCAAAATAGGTCACAATAATGTTAGTATTTCTAAGCCGGACTGCTAAGAAACACTACTTAATGAGCATGATTCAAATTTTTGGTAGTGACTCTCTTTTGCTTTCATTCATCTTTTTTTATTCTTTCCTTTTTTTCATTTCTTGAGAGAACCACCACCTCTGCAGATTTTTCAAACACATGCCCAACTTTTAAGCACTACCTCCAACCCTCACATTATTTTTAGCAGAAACAGCAGAGAACAAGCAAAAACAACTATGTGGAACCTTCTAAGAGATGCAAAAGGGTGATTCTCCATTGTAGACTGAAAGAAAGGAAAGTACACGGCTCAAAGGGGCTGACTAGGGGGTATGGCACACTAGGAAAGTCAATTTGGTCGTGGGCTATTCCTATGCCTCCATCATCTTAGCTAGTGACAACGTGAATGCTACACATCATGGAAGAGGGAACTATCGCACAAGAAAGAAACGAGCAGGCTCAAATCTCACATGGCTACTTATATGCTCTATCTATCATTCTGATTCCCTGAACTAGATGCATAAACAACTATCAAGAGCAAGTGATCAATCCAAGTCACAGTTGGTAAGCAAACAGTTGACAAACTGAACCCCTACACAACTCTACTGCACGTCTCAGTCATCATTATAGGCTATCTCAGTCACAATACAGTTGTCATGCATCAATTCAAAAGCCATTCGATTCACCAATCAAACCCACAGTGCCAATATGATCTTGCAAACATCAGTACTTGGAGCCCTCAAATCTCGAGATTTGGATAGCAGATTAGGCTACAAGCACACAAACTCATATAGCAGTAAAAATAGATAAACACGTCCCCCCCCCCCCCACACACACACACTTGAGCGACATTGCCCTCAATGGAGCAGAGGGAAAGATAAGGGGAAACGATGTTACAGGGAGTACAGACTGCCGGGGGACTGGAAATCGGACCAGTCATCAGGGATAGCGTCAGCAAAACACACTGGTTGATAGAAACCATAGTTCCAAGTGGACAAACCAAAAACAAACGAAAGGAAAACAAACCTTGGTGGGGTTGCCTCCCCACAAGAGCTTCTTTACCATCTTTTAGCTGGACGCCAGTAGGGTGGATGCTCAGAGAGGTGTAGGAACAGGTGCCTCCAAGAGCGGATCCACATCGCTCTTGAGGTACAACTTCAGATGGTGGCCATGCGCACGACAGGTGTGACCACCAGCACTTATCAACTCGACATGGCCATCCGGAAGGAGGCAAGCGAGTGAATACTCGGATGGCCAAGGAGGTCGAGGCTCAGGAGGCGGGACCAGCTCATAGTGGTCTCCGACTTTCTCTTGAGCAGGCTTAGCTACCTGGAGTTTCGGCCGCCACTCCTCCTTGATCTTTTCTTTTGGTAACGGAGTGGACGGGAGTGGCGGCAAAGATATGGGAGGGGGATCTTGCAAAATGGGAAGCACAGAAGGATACACGACAGACTCGTTCTCCTGGTGAGAAACATCATGCAAAGGCGATGAAGCAGGAAGAGTATTAGCAATGGAAAATGTTATTCTCTCCTCGCCATCCCTCCAGACTAAGGTCCCATCATGTACATCTATGAGAACCTTGGAGGTGGCCAGGAAAGGCCTTCATTGTATAAGGGGCACTTTTGTGTCTTCATTGATGTCCAAGACAACAAAATCCACAGGATAAAAGAATCTGCCCACCTTAACCAGGAGGTATTCCACTATGTCCCTAGGATGAACTACAGATCGGTCAGCTAATTAAATACTTATCCTAGTTGCACTGGGTTCACCTAGACCTAGTTTCTTGAACAGTTTATATGGCATTACATTGATACTAGCGCCTAGACCCCCCAAGGACCCCTCTACATGCAATTTACCTATAGAGCACGGGATAGTAAAACTACCCGGGTCCTTCTGCTTATGCGGAAGCTTGTTCTGCAGAATGGCCGAGCACTCCTCGCTGAGCTCCACAGTGACCAGCTCGCTCAGCTTCTGCTTCTTTGAGAGAAGATCCTTCAGGAACTTTGCATACTTAGGCATTTGAGATAGTGCCTCCAGGAAGGGCACTTGAACATTCAACTTCCTAAGCATGGACATGAAGTTCCCGAACTCTGCCTCTAGCCTGTCTTTGTGCAACCGAGTAGGGAAGGGGATTTGAGGGACATACTCCTTCACCACTGGTTGCGGCTTAGGAGTAGGCACCTCAACCTCCTTCTCCGCTTCTTCTTCAACAGCTGGAAATGCCGAGGCATGTCTCTCTCCCGCTTGTCTGGCCAGGACAGGTGGGTATACAATCACTTTGCCGCTCCTTATAGTGATAGCATTACAATGGGAATTCGGGTCCTTCGGATTAGGAATGGTATTACCCGGCAGGGTATCCGGAGCCCTCTGTGCCACTGCTTGAGCCACACTCCCCATTGGGTTTGGATATCCTACAAAATAGCATATGTGTTCCTCTGGCCAGCTTCAAGAGCCAGGAATTTACAAGAGGCCTTTTCCATGAACTGCTCGATAGTGTTGAATTTATGAGCACTAGAACTAGCAAAGGAACCCACCAAGTCCAGCAGTTCAGCTATCAGATCATTCTGCACTGGGGTTGCAGGGGCTGCGTCTGGCTGTTGGAAAAGTCGCGGCTGTGGTTGAGCAGCATGCCCCTGCATGGGTTGGTAGAGAGACTGCTGCTGTTGCTGGAATTGCCCCTGGCTAGGCTGATATGGCGGTCTTTGGAAACCTGGAGGTTCTTGGGATACAGTAGGCTTAGGATTATTTCCACTCCATGAGAAGTTGGGATGCTGGCGCCACCCCTAATTATACGTGTTGCTGTAGGGGTCATTGCGCCTAGCATTGTTGATAAAGTTCACCTGCTCATGGGGTGTAGTCGACTCCCTCATTGCCTAACAGTCTTCCACAGTATGATGGGTGCTCTCGCACCACTGGCAATGCATCGCCTGTTGCTGCACTGTCCCTGAAACCAATCCATAGAGATCAATAGCTGAGACCAGCTTAGATACCATCTGTGCCAAATCAGGCAACTAGGTGGCTACCGCATGCACACCCTGTCCTGGTGCTCGTCTCGTTCTCCTCGCAGTTCCCCAATCATATCGCTGCTCTGCTATCTTTTGAAAGAGTTGATTCAGCTGCGGCGGTGTCTTGGTGAGCACATTCCCGCCGCAAACCGAGTCAATCAACTACTTGTCTTCTGGGAAGAGGGCATGGTAGAAGGTGCACACCTTGAAGGCGTCAGTAAAACCATGGTTGGGACACTTGAGGAAAAGACTGGTGTATCTTTCCCAACATCCCGAATGGTCTCATCTTTCTCCTGAGCAAAGTGGGTGATCTGCTTCTGCAGGTCCACCGTCTTCGGCGGAGGATGGTAGAGGGTGAGGAACTTTCCACCAGGTTGGCAAACGCGGTGATCGAGCCTGGAGGTCGTGTGTCCAACCACTCCTTGGCTTGCCCCTCTAAAGTAAA